CCCCCATTCCCTGCCACACCCAGACCGCTCCGGCCCGCCTCGGCTCCCCACCTTCGGACACCTCCCGGACAACAAACTTGGCGGGGGCCGGCCCTAATCCTGTTAAGCCACGTCCTCACCTCGGACCCTGCCGCCTGCCCCGCGCCCCACCCCGCCACGCCGCAGAGAGACCACGGAGGGGCGGGAGAGCGAGGGGGCGAGGAAAACGCGCCAAAGCGAGCAGAGGAAATTAAATCAAAGTATCAGCGTAATACTTTCCACGCGTGACAGCGTCTATTAAATTGTAACGCGACAAGGTTAAACGCGACGCCGCACCAGGCTCAGAAAAAGGGGCGTATTTTCGGGGACCATCCAGCAATTTACACAGACTACAAATATAAGTCATGGTATTTATGTGAACTTATTTACAGACAAAAAACATGTTTATTTATTATTTCCTTTTTTGTTCAAGGCAGAAAGTGTTTTAGTGTGGATACAGAGTTCACGAAACACAAGCGTTATTTTCACGCCAGGCGTGATTTTCACGCTTCGTTAGCTTCACGAAGCCAATCAGGAACCGACTTTCATCACACCAGGCGTGAAAATCACATCTGGCTCGCGTTTAGCGAACTTTGTATCCACCTTTACTCCAGCGACTAAAACGTTTCTAATTGAATTGGTTATGGGTTTTGCCGAGGTTGCGCCTGTATGGCTGCTCTTTAAATTGTTCTCCGTACCAAATCTGCAACATTGAAATTACGGCAATGCCGTTTTTCTCTTGAAGGTTGATGCTGAAAAATGATAAGCAGCGATTTCGATCATTTTCGTGTCGGCAAAAATGACCCCATGTCCATAGAGTCCATTCCCTATATTCTTGCAGAGCGGCGAGCAAAAGCTTTCGAGAAAATGCCATTCAGTCATAGTTTAACCGATCAGCAGGGTGTTTTCCCGTGCATTATAAGGGTTGACCTGCCGATGTAGTGTCCACCCGTCCTCCCGACCTGCGTGGGGCTCCTCTCTCAAAGACAATGCGCACGCTCAGGCTCGGCTCGGGGAGGTAGCCACTCTAACTTTCGGGTATCGCCCCTCCGACCACGGTGTTTATGAGCCTAACAAAGACGACCGGAAAGCAAAGCCTAGCCGCTCTGCCAGAAAATAGGGAATGGACTCTACCTCTTTTACCTTCCTTTACGTTTTGTACTGGAAATAACGGAGTGTTAGTGCCTGTGTTTAGTATAGGTTCTGCTGTGAGTTAGTGATGCACAGTTCCCCGAACCCTCTTGACCACACTGCTCGTCTCGGTCGCACCCCAGCGCGGCAAGAGCCTCGACAGACTGGGGTCATGAGCTCTGCTGCCCCATGAGCAAACCTGGCGCCCACCGCTCTAGGAGGGATACCAGAAGGGTCGACCACTGCGGCGTCACTAAACCGACGGACGCCTCTGACAGCCCTGCATCCACCCTGTAGCGAGCGCTGTAGCAAGGACAGCGGATATCTGCTGCTGCTGCTGCTGCTGCTCGGTTCGACGGATGAGCTCATCAGGGCAGAGAGAAAGAGAGAGTGAGATAGTGAAAGAGAGAGAGAGAGAGGGGGGGGATGGGGGGAGAG